GAACCGGCGCGCACGGGCTCGGCCCTGCGCGCCCCGGCCAGTAGCCGGGCACCCGGAACCGCAGAGGGGCCTCTAACCGCGCGCGCAGGCGGCCCGGGGGCGCACAAAGCCCCGGAGGGAGGGGGGCTCGGCTCGCCACGCCGACGAGGCACACGCTGGAAAAATGCACACGCCATTGGCAAATCCAGGGCAAACAGGCAGAATTTTTTATTAGCAACTAAATGATTTATGGCGCACATTCCCCCGCCGCCACAATTACGGCGTCTTGGCGCATCCAGGGGTGAAAACATTAAACATTTATAAAAATAGGCCTTTGTTTTTTTCCACCCCGCGAGCCTTTTGTATTCCCCACCCACCCCCGCCCCCACCCCTCCTTGAACTACACGAAAATTAAAAAACAACATTCCAAGTCCCGGGGCGGGATGACGGGGCGGGGGACCACGGGATGTCGCCGAATGCTGGGGGGCGCGGGCGTGGGAGGCTTTACTGGGGGACCCACAGAGGCCTCTGGACGCGGCTCAAGGGCACTCGGTGGCCCCACGCGTGGACCCTTCCCCGCAGCGTGCGGCTCCACTGCGGTTTCTGCAGCCGCCCCCTCCCCTGCGGCACACGGACACAATACCTCCTTTCTCTAACCCCCCTCTGCTCCGCGTCCTGGCGCTCCCGGCGCTGCACCGGCTGCCCAGGCCGCCACGGAGCCCCGCGCGCCCGACTCCGAGCGCGGACACCGCCGCTCGCTCCCCTCGGCTCCGGCTATTTGCGGGCCTTTCTTCCTCCCTCCTCCAGCTTCCAAACGAGGGCAGCCTAGAAACCAGCGCAGGAGGCCCCGGAAAGGGCAACTTGAAACTGCCCTCCAGAGGCTAAACTTTTTTTTTTTCCCTCAAATTTATCCTGGAATTAAAGACGCCCTCCCCCTCCCCCGCCAGCTCCTTCTCAAAGCCCTAACCACCACCACCACCCCTCCGCTATTTTTTTTTTCTTCTAAAAGTGGAGACGAGAAAATAGAACGAATGGGCGAGAACCAGCTCATTTTTTTTCCCTCTCCAAAAAAGTTGCCTTAAATATGGATTTAAAAAAAAATGCAAAAAAGCAACGTGGAAATGCTGAGTCGCAGCGCGGGGCGAGAGAGCGGGCTCCTCCTGCGTTAATTAAAATCCTATCGCCAAGGCCCCTCTCCAGGCAGCGACCGCGCGACCTGTGCGCCAGCCAGCTCGGGCACCCGCGGCGCTGCGGAAAGGGCGCGGGGCCCCCGGGACCGTCCGTCCGGCGGGGTCCGCGCCCCCCGCTCCCAGCCCCTAGCCAGGTAGACATCTGCCATGGGCAGCTCCGGGCGACTCAGCCCAGAAAGGATTTTGCTGAAAGCGCAAAATAGAAGTACAATGTCTGGGAGGGGGGTTGGGGCTCCCCTCCCCCCCACGGCCGCCGTGGCCAGCCAAGCACTTTTTGGGCTTGGCTGCTGCTTCCTCCGAGCTCAACAGATTTTTTTTTTTCTTTTTCTTTCCCGGTCTCGCCCTCCCTGGAGGGGGCGCGGCGGATGGAAGGCGAGAGAGGCCCCCAGCCAAGCGGTTTTTAATATTACACTTTAATAGGTTTCAGAAGGCCCCGTGGAGAAATGCTAATAGGCTGAAATGTCAGAATCGAGAGGGATTCGGTTCGCGCTCAGCCGCTCTAATCCTTTTTTCTGCTCTGGTTTTTTTTTTGGGGGGGGGTGGGGAAGGAGGGGAGGGGGCGCCCACGCAAAGAGGGGCTTTGGGGAGGGGCGAGCCGTGCGCATCGCCGCAGCCCGGGCCGGGCCGCGCGGGGGGCGCGCCCGGGTCCGCGTTTCTATAGGAACCCCTTTTAGAAGAGTAGAGACTCACCCGCTGCCCGCCGCCGCGGCCTCTCCAAAATATTAATCAGTAACCATCTGACACCGCGACTCGGGGAGGGACCCGCAGGCCGGGGCTGGGGGAACGGCCTTGCCGCCTGCCCATCCCACCCGACCGCGCCGCTGGGGGACAGGGAATGAATCGCGGCTTTGTTTTAAAAGGAAGGAAAGGAAAAAAAAAAAAAAAAAGGAAAAAGCAGCCCTTGTCTGTTGGGGCGTCTGCGCCGCGCGTTCTGGAGGCGCACCCCAGGGAAGGCGCGAGCGCGCACGAGCGCGCGCAGGGCGCAGCCCGCCGGGCCCCAGACCCTTCCCGGCCGGCTCGGCTCGTCACCTCCTCCTGCGCGCAGGAAGCTGACAGGCGGCCCATTAAACCGCGCCTTGCAAAGCCCTGGATTGCGGCGACAACCATCTTCCTCTATTTTGATCACTCAGCCCAGACGCGGGGGGAGGGCGAGGAAAAGGGAGGAGGAGGAGGAGGAGGAGGAGGAAGGGGGGGGATCGGAGCTGGGGGAGGGGGAGGGCTGCCTAGAAACGGCTCGGAAAAATTCTCACCACCAGTTTTGATCATTCAGCCCCGCCGAGGGGAGCCTGGAAACTGCTGGAGCCCCGAGGTCCGTAATTGGTTTTATAGGAATGGCTGAGGGCCAAGGTGTTTACATGCGCGTGATGGGCGTCGCGCGCGGCCAATGCGCAGCGGCCGGGGGCGGGCCCGGGGGGGGGTGGGCGCCCGGGAACAATGCGTGTTTCTTCGGCTGCGAGTGCGCCCCTCCCCCAACTCCCTCCCTCCCCCCCCCCCCGCTGAATTTTTTTTTTTTTTTTTTTTTTTTTTAGATCCAGCGAGAGGAACTTGAAAGGGGGGTTGTGTAATGTACCTTTTCCAATCCCGGGCTGTATATGGAGATTTGGGATTCTTTAAACCGGCGCTACCTGGATTTTATTAAAAAGCGGGGAGCCCGGCGGGAGGAAAGCTGGCTTTTCCGGGGGCTGCGGGAGCCGGGCCGCGGGAGGGCGGAGGAGTTGGCGCGCCGAGCGCTCGGCCCGGGGAGCGGTTTTCTACCAAAAAAAGGAAAGGCGGGCAAAAAGTGTGAGGCGGCCGCGGGCGTTGGAGGGGAGCGGCGGCCGCGGGATGGCGGGCAGCACGGGCGCCTAGCCGCGCCGGGAGCCGGAGTCGCTGTCGCCGGAGCCCGGAGCCGGGAGCCCCGCCGCGCCAGGTACGCCGCGCGCCACGGGCTCCAAACTTCTCCAGCCGCCCCCACCCCCACCCGCCCCTCGGGGTTCGCGCAGCCGGGGGTCCCCGAGGACCGCGCTGGGGGGGTGGGGGTGGGGGTGGCCGCGGCCGGCGGGGAGGGGGCGCCCTGGGGGGGCGGGGCGGGCCCTGCGCCCCGGGCGCCCACCCGCGCCCCCGGCCGAGGGGCGTCGGTTCCCCCTCTCGCTTCCCTGCAGGCGGCGCGGGAGCCGCGGACGCCGAGACGTTTTCGATTATAGGCTGTTTTTAATTAAAAGCCGGAATTCAGCCATTTTAGCTGCGTTTAAGAAGGGGGAGAAAAGTAAGGAGCAGGCAGCGGAGCCCGCAGCTGGCCGGGCCGGCTCTCCCTCGCCCGTGCGCGCCGGGGGCTCTCGCCGCGGCTTCCCCGACGCGGGGCGCCCGGGCACGCTCCGGGGCGCCGGCTTTTAACAGCGAGCTGCCCAAAGACCATTGGAAAAAAAAAAAAATCTCGGGAAGCTCTCGCCTGCTCGAGACTTGTCTCCTCGGATGTGGCGATCTTAGATTTTTTCCAAAGTAAACGCGGATCTGGTAACCGGAGCCTGAAGGCAGAGCGCGCGCGCGCGAGGGCGGGAGGAGGGGGTGTCTGCAGCCCGAGCCCAGGTGAACAGGCCCCCTTCGCGGACGCGGGGAGAGCGGGCCCGCGGCTCGGGGGGCTGCGCGCCGCGCGCGCGGGGGGCTTCGGCCGGGCCGGCGGCGCGCGGAGCCGCCGGGGCCTCCCGGAGTCGGGTCGTCGGAGCCGCTGCGGGCGCGCAGGAAGGGTGGGCTCCAGACCCCCTCCCCCTCCTGCCCCCACGGGGGTCGGCCGCCGACAAGTCTTTAAAACAAACATCTTTAAACTGGGACTACAGGCGGATTTGCGCAGCGCTTGGGGGAGGCGCCCCTGGGGCGGCCCGCACCGACCCGAAGGTTTTTTTTTTTTTTTTTTTTTTTGCTTTGTAGGTTTTTTGGGGTGGAGGTGGTGGTGGTGAGGCAGAAACCTGGGGTAGGAGCGAGACCCCCCCCCCCGCACCTGGCCACGTCCTCGTGCTGCGGGAGCCCCAGGGCCAGAGTGTTGGAAACTGAAACCAAAGCGCTCTTCCCAGCCCCTGGGAGAGAGTGCCACGTCTCGGGGCCTGGGGCTCGGACGCTGGGCGGCCGGGGGACTGCGGGAGGGCGCGCAGGTCTAAAAAAAAAAAAGAAAGTCAAAAAACCAGGAAACCCTTTTTGGCACCCTCCTCCCATCCCCGGATTTAAAAACAAAAAACCAAAAAAAAAAAAAAAAAACCAAAAAAACAAAACAAAACAAACGGTAAAATACTCCTTTGGCGGCTCGGGAGAGACCAGGCTCCGGACTGGGAGGCCAGGGCCCAGGGAGGTTAAATATTAAACTTTGCGGATCAGATAGCGGCGTGGGGTCCAGGGAGACCCGAGGGCGGGGACGGGTTCACGCAGCCTGGGCCGCCCGGGAACCGGACGCGCTGGCGAGGTGCGCGGTGCCCCGGGCCGGGCGCGGCTGCGGAGCCTGCCCCGGCCGAGCAGCGCAGAGCCGGCCGCCGCGCCCCAGCTCGGCATTCCCTGGACCCGAAAGGCGAGGCGACTTTCTGAAACTTGTTGATTTTTATTTTTTTCCTTTTTCTCTTTTCGGTGTCTTCCGCGGCTCCTCTCCTCTCCCTACCAAGACCCTGCGTGCGCCGCCTCGCGCTACTCCGCCTGGCCGCCCGGACGGTCCCCGCCGCCGGCCGCGGGCCCCGCTGGCCGCCGCCATGCACGCCGCGGAGCCCTCGCCGCCCCGGGACCTTGGGACTACGTCGAGGCCGGACTTTTAGGTCCCGCTGAGCGAGGCCCGCGGGGCCGGGTGGGGGGCTGGCCGCGGCACCCGCGCGGAGGATGGATGGCCGAGACTTCGGGCCCCCGCGGTCCGTGCACGGCCCCCCGCCGCCGCTGCTGTCCGGCCTGGCCATGGATAGCCACCGCGTGGGCGCCGCCACCGCCGGACGCCTGCCAGCCTCGGGCTTGCCGGGCCCGCTGCCGCCCGGGAAGTACATGGCCGGCCTCAACCTTCATCCGCACCCGGGTAAGTGCTCCCGTGCCGGTGCCCGGGACCCCGGGGAGGGAGGCCCTCGGCGGCACGGGCAGCCTCGGCTCCAGGGACCGGGGCCTCAGCCCCTCCGGCGCCGGCGGAGAGGGTCTCCCGCCGATTCTAGCTTTTGCTTTTCCCCGGCCCGGGCCCCAACCGTTCCGAGGCGGCGAAGCGTCCTGCCCGGTCTCCGGAAGCCACCAGGGGCGACTCCAGCCCTCCACAGCCCCCCTACCCGGCGCCTGAGCGTGAATTTGGGGAGGGGGGCACCTGGGCTGTAGTTTTCAAAATCCGAGCGAAGGAAAGACCAAGTCCCAGGGAGACCGCCGCCCCCTGAGCTCCGACCTTCTTGGCAAACGCCCGTGCGCCTCGGGGTCTGCTCCTGGCCCCGCCGCTCGGCGTCCAGCCGGGCTCCGAGCGCCCGGTGTCTCCAGTCCTGGGCCCTTGCCTCTGGCGGGCGGGCAGCGGGCTTCGGGAGCGTCCTCTTCCCCCGGGAGCCCGCACTCCTGTAGGTGGCCAGCGTCCCCGACCCGCGTCCCCTGGTTCTCTGGCGCCGAGGGCGGCGCAGCGGGGAGCGGGCGACCGAAGGGAAGCCCTGGGTCTGCCTTGGAACCGCGCGGGAGGAGGTGGCCGGGAATGGTCTGCGCCATTCCCCAAGAGGGGCTGCCCGGCCACGATGGGGACAGCACCCGGGAGGGCGAGCGCCGCGGAGGGAGAAGCAGGCTCGGCCGGCCGTGGTGGCTGAAGCCGGGGACGCTGGGGCCTTGGTCGGCGGCCGCCCCGGGACTCCTCCCTCGGCGTCTGCCTGGCTGCCCACGCTTTGGCTTTCATATATTAAAAAAAAAAAAGTCGTCTTCTCCAAACTGTAGTTTAGGACTATGTGGTCTCCCGGCGTGCCCCTTGTCCTGGGGGTCTTCCAGGAGAAACCCCCGACCTTCCCCTTGCGCCGCGCCCGGCGCGCTCGCCCGCTGGGCGGCTTCTCTCTGATTTCTCCCCGGGAACTTTTTAGGAACCCAGTCCCGGGGGCTCAGCGGGACAAAGGGCCTTTGTGCGGCGCCGGGCGGGGGAGGGGCGCACGGGGCCCGCGGGGGGTGGTGGCGGAGATTCCCGTTGGAACGGGCCAGGTGGGCCAGGGGGTTCGAATGTGCCTTTTGGGAGCTGGGGGTCGTGTAGGGCCGGGGTCTTCTCCCGAGTGGTGCCCTGGGGCCGACGGAGGGGCGCTGGAGCCCCCTCAAGGACTTGGGAGAGGCCCACGGGCACAGATGCCGTCTGGGCCTCCCCTGTTGCGCTCCCGGCCAGGCTACTGTGGCTGTGCGTCTGCGTGTGGTCGCTTATGCGCGCGTGTGCGTTTTGAGCTCTGCGGGTCACTTGGTCGGCCCGCGCGGTAGTGCCGTGGCTCAGGGGTCTTGGGGTCCCCCTCCCCAGCGGCAGGCTGTGCGTTCTCTTGCATTCTGCGGGGCTGGAAGGGGGCTCCCCTGCGCTGCTCACGGGGTGGCCCCGGGGCCGGGTGCTGCGGGGAGGGTGTCCTGATGCCGCCCAGTGGGAACAGCTGCTGCTCAGGCCGCACCTTCACCTCGGGGCGGAATGACCAGCCTAGGACTCCTTCCAGCAGGAGGTGGCCCTGGAGTGAGCCTCCTCTCCCTGCCTCCTGCGCCCGGAGCTGCCTGGCTTCTGGGTGCCCGGCGGCTGAGGGCGTGGAGGAAATGGCGGGAAGGCACCGCCGCTCTCTGGGCCTCGTGAGGGCCAGTGCTGCCCCCTCGCTGTCCCCACCCCCGCTTCCAGTGGCCTCCAGGAGACCTCGGACCCCAGGCCGACGCCCAGAGCCTAGCCCCGGCTAATCCCATTAGCCAGGAGGTGGGGGAGCCGCCGCGTTCGGTCTTTGGGGCGGTGCCCAGCGCTCCCCAGCTTGCTGTGTGGGGTGCAGGGCCAGCGTTTGGCTTCCAGCTCCGCACCCTGTCTCTCTTGGCTGTCAGCTCCCTGGGTTGTGCCAGTCTTATCAGCTCCATCTTGATTTGTTTATTTTTGGGCTGGGAAGCCGAGCGCCTGTGTGGTTGTGCCCCGGTCACACCGGGAGGGAGCGAGAGCTGGTCCCCTGCGGAGCCCCTTCCCGAGGGGGAGGATCTGGGGGTGGCTCTGGGGCACCGGCCGCCTCGGGCATGGTGCCCCGCGCTTGGGCCCCTTTCTCTGCGTTGAGGGGAGACTGCCTTTTACCTTTCCTGTAACCTTGAGGACAGGTAGCACAGCCCGAGCCGTGGCTACTGGAAGGGACAAGGGAGTGAGGAGCGCCTGGTGGGCCCGGCTCCCAGCTGAGGGCTTGGCGGGCCTGGACTGAGTCCCTCATGCAGTTAAAGAGCGATTAGCACAGTTTGGTATCTGGGTATTGATTCTCCCTGCCCCCACAGCCGGGGTTGAGTGGGGGGGGGCGGGCCCCCGGGATCAGCAAGGGGAGGCCCTGCGCTTTGGCCTGGCCGTGGACAATAGGGGGCCTGGGCCTTCTGCAGGGTCCATCAGACGGTCACGTCGCCCAGTCTCTGGAATCCGGCCGGTCGGCCGACTGGGATTGACTTAGCAGGAGCAATCAAGACTAGCCGGCCCCGCTGATGGGATCCCGGAGATAAGGGGCAGCCTGAGGAAGGTTCTGGAATCTGCAGGGGCCTCTCGGGCCTCCTGGCTCTCTGTGCAGCCTGGCTCTGCAGCTTCCCACCTCTGGCGCCTTCTCCTTTCCTCACTCGTTCATTTGTTCAGCAAATAATTTCCAAGCGCTCCCTGCGCCTGCCAGCCGCGGCGCACCCAGCAGCGAGTCCCTGGCCTCCTCCTCCAGCAGACACACAGGCAGCCGAGGAGAAAATGAAACGCCCGGGTCTGGTCTGGTCTGGTCTGGCCGAGCGGCGAGGGCGCTGTCACCACGGCCGTGCTGCCTGTGCTGCGGGGGCCAGGACGCCGGCAATGCCCCGGGGCAGGTGCATCCCCGCCGGTCCCCCAAGGCCAGATGTGAGACTGTGGGAACGGTCACGGGGAGTCGGCGGGGGGTGTGACCGCTCCCAGCGAGGGACGTTTTGCAGAACTGGTCTGGACTTCCAAAAAAAAAAAAAAAAAATGACCGTGGCACGCAAGACAAAGAAAGGCCAAGAGCGGTGGTTGATTACAAGGCCACGCAGGGCTCCTGGTTGGATCGGGGATGGGGCAGAACCGGCGCGAGGAGCAGCGGTCGGGGCAGTGTGGACTGGAGATCAGCCGAGGGGGTCACAGATCAATATGACGTTTCACCGAATGGACGCCTGGGCCGTTATGTAAGGGAGCGTCCTCATTCTGAGGATGTGTGAATACGGAAGCACGTTGGGGGCGAGGGACGCCGTGTGGCCAGGGCGGCTCGCTCTCGGGAATGGCCCCGGGGAGAGTGGGAGGGTGACTTCAAAGACCGGGGTCGCCAGTGGTCATAAGGACAGTTGGTCATGCCCCTTCGAACTTTCTCTGAAGTCAGAATTATTTCAAGTAAGCATTTAAAAAAATTCAGCTGGGTTCCTGGCCGGAGCCCGGGAGGGCTAGAAGCAAGGTGACCAGTGTGCTCCGGGAGGCCTGTGGAGAGGGAGGTGGCCGTGACCCGGCGGGCAAGGGGCCGGGAGCCCCTTGGTGGGGAGGAACAGACTTGGGGAAGGGGCGGGGATTAGGCGTTTGCATTGGGGCTGGCTTGGGGCAGCTATGGCTCCTGGCCTGACCCAGTCCCACCCAGTCTTAAATCCGGACTCCAGCGCCATCATGCAGGTGTGCTGGCCCACCTCTCCACCCTCCCCCCCCTTTTTTTTTCTTTAAGAGTGATTGATTTGAAAGAGTGGCAGAGAGATCTTCCGCCCACAGGTTCACTCCCCAGATGGTCACGACAGCCTGAGCCGAGCAGGCCAAAGCCCGTGGCAGGGGCCCAGGGACTTGGACCTTTGTCTGCTGCTTGCTCCTAGCCGGGAGCTGGCCTGGAAGCGGGGCTCCTGGGACTTGATCGGCCGCTCCGATCTGGGGTGCTGGTGTTGGCACACTGCAGCTTAATCGCCACACCACAAGGCCTGCCTGCCAGCCCAACTTTTTTTTCTTTTTCCTTACTATTTATTTTACTTATTTAAAAGGCATAGTTGAGGCGGGTGGTGTGGGTGGGAAGAGAGAGAGAAAAATCGCCCGTCCACTGGTTCACTTTCCAAGTGGCCACAATGGCCAGGGCTGCACCAGGCCAAAGCTGGAAGCCAGGAGCTTCTTCCAGGTCTCCCACGCAGGTGCAGGGGCCCAAGCACCTGGGCCATCTTCCACTGCTTCCCCAGGCCATTAGCAGGGAGCCGGATTGGAAGTGGAGCAGCCGGGACTTGAACCGGTGCAGGACCTGAACAGTCAGCGTTGCAGACTGTGGCTGAACCCCTTGTGCTACAACGCCGGCCACCCAGCTGGAGCTGCTCTCAGAACGGGTTGGGGCCTCCCCAGGGCCTGCGGGGAGCCCTGGCCAGTGGTCATGCAGGACCAGGGTCCTTACCCACGCTTGCTGGAGAGAGGCTGGCCCAGGGGCTCAGGTGCACGTCTTCCTCCCTAAGCCTTGATTTTTCTCACCTGCAGAGTGGGTCGGCTGATGGCCCTGGATTCACTCGGAGGCCTGGCTGAGCAGGGGGCCTAGCTCGGCGGTGGTGCCCTGCTGTGCCAACAGTGAGTGTCGGCTGGGGACGCCCAGGGCCCTTGTGCCAGTCCCGGCTTCTCCCGGAGCCTCTGCATCGGTTACTAAGTCCTCGGGCTGGGCCAGAGCCGTCCCAGGCGTCCAGCCTGAACTCAGCACTGCCTCCTCTCTCTCTCTCTCTTTTTTTTTCCCCATGCAGCTGAGGGCAAAATGCGTCAGTCTTGAATTCATTGAAGTTTTTTTTTTTTTTTTTTTTTGACAGGCAGAGTGGACAGTGAGAGAGAGAGACAGAGAGAAAGGTCTTCCTTTGCTGTTGGTTCACCCTCCAATGGCCGCCGCGGCCGGCACGCTG